TTAGTTGCTAACCTCAATAGTTGCAATATTTACGTACATAGCCATAATCCACATATACCAATGAAATTATCATAAATTTTCTGGCCCTAGCAGACAATTTCAAAAATATTGTGTAACTTTGTTCGACTCGTAGGGGCATCATAGGACTTGAAAATCCGGTTATTTTCCGATTTTACGTTATAACTGGCTGTAAAATCGACAAACAATTTTACCAAATGATAGCCCCAATTGAAAGAAGTAACTTTCGTCCGATAGCGTGTTTCCTATCTCTTACAATTAGTATCGGAAAATAACTGGATTTTCAGGGGTCAATCCTATCCCTTGGTAGTAGTTATATATCCTCCGTATATCCCCAAAGTCTCATAATTCTTCGAATTCGCGCGTCTTCCCTTGACAGCCTTATTTTATGTTATTTACCTTCCCATTCGACTTTATTATTTCTCACGATTTCGAAATATCAGGTTGGCAACTAAGCGATTGCAGATATTGCCAACTCAACAACACTTAATGAAAAAATCCGCAATCACTTAATTGCCAATCCTATAGTATCTCACTTTGACCATTGATTCCTATCGCTAAATTATGTTCTAATTACTTGGGCAGAAAAAAGGCGTTATATTTTTATTGCATTTCACCAGAGACAATAGGATTTCAATGTAACAGGCAAGGGAACAGAAACAGGCGTATTACAGGAACGAAAACAGCAATACAGGCACAGAGATGTTCTTTAGGAATGATAAACCTGTGGAGGAAGAATGAACTCATTGACGACGAGAAAGAGCGGAATTTCACAGCGTTAAACATAGGGACCTCTCTACCCAAGCGAACACTTTCAAATTTACATCGATGTTCGATGATGGTTTTCTTCGTTTGTTTATTGGAACAGCACGGAACCGACCCGATTACGTCAACCTTCGATACAAAACGTTTATGTAATCGGTGGCGACAGAGTGTATTTTTGTAATCGACTGCTGCGTAATGCAACACCGACGTATTAATTTCAATAAAGATCACATATTGCGTTTCCTTGAAGCGTACTGTTCCTCCAGGCTGTCGCCACTATCTTTCTCTTTAATTATCTTTCGTTGTTCCAGTTTCGGCAACGATCGTGGAAAAAGCGGAAGCGAGGTCTAAAACCACCCAATTTCCATCCTCCTGCTCTCAAGAAGTTTCGTCTAACGCGCACGGTATATTCGCGTACAAAAATTTTCTAAGTGTTCGAATATGTACGTACTGTACGTACAGTGGCCGGCATTAATGTTCCAGCACTCTACTCGGCTAAACTTTACTTTACGGATTATCGTTCTTTTCTTCGCGATCTCGTAGTTCTCCACGTGTTTCGACCGAGAGAGACAACGAGTTTGAATTGTTAAAGGTCATCGAATTCGTTTTTTCTTTGGCGGCTACAATACACGGTGACTGTTAAGAAACTGAAGATCAGCTTGATATCTCAGAGAATGCGAGGCATCGAAAAGTCAAAATGTATTCGTTCGATCAAGATTCGTTCCATCCTTAGACGCGATGAATTTTACCTGGTAAATGATAAACTCAGTCGGTTAACGAATTACGTGAGATGGTGATTTTTACCGACTCACCTTGTACATGTACGTAAACATGGCGCATGACCCAGCTGTTCTTAGATTCGTAAAAGCGTTTGCCGGGACTGGAAAGAGAAAAAAAGGAAGAAAGAGATAGAGAGAGAGAGAGAGAGAGATGGCGGACGAAAGGAAAGGTAACGGGACCGCGAAAAACGCGCTAAAAAATAACTAAGAAGTCTCGCTTCGGGCTCTTTGCGGGTTGCCGAGGGAATCGGTTACGGTCGTTGCTCTTCGCTACTGTACGATGTTGCTTCTTCCGTTGCGGCCGCCAATCCGATCACCGCTCTGTCGCTTGACTCACCAGTTAAAACTCTGTTTATCGCGATTATCCGAAGAAACGTCGCGGCCCTCGGTTGCACCCGAACAAATCTTCGCTTCTGAGAACTTGGCTCGCTATAGCCCTATAGCCTTCTCGTATAGTCCGAATCGAGCGAACACATACACAGCGTAATCGCTGCAAATCTTCAGATAAACGCGTGGCTGGTCTCACACGTATCTAGTTTCACTAAACTACGAAAGTTTCGTAATTTTTGCAACAACCCTGGCCGGCAGGTGGCAGTAACGTCGTCGTTGAGATATTCGCTGGCTATCGCGGCAGTAACCACGTAAGTGGCAGTTGTGTGGGAGAAAAGTAACTGGTAAATGGAAACAATGTTGTTTATCCCGAAGTTATAAAACATATCCGCCGTTATTAATTCCAAGTTTTACCAAGCGAAATTGGCTTGCTTCGTCTGCTGGAAAATCACTTTCTATACGAAGAGTATAGAGGCAACTACAGGCAAACGTCGGAAGAGTCGTTCGGAGACCGCAGGGAAAGAACAAGTTCGTTTTTACTTATTTCTTGGCTTTTACGAGAAATTATCTGCCAGAGTCAAGAGACTAGTATCACGCTTATTATTGTCAATTGCAGAAAACATTCCAGTTATCTGAGATATCGTAAATTCTAATGAAACTTCGATCATTTTTGTCGTGTGATTAAAGAAATCTGTAATTCGATATATCTATTGGCTTGGCAACTAAATGATTGCGGATTTTGTCAATAAGTGGTATTGATAACATCAGCGATCATTTAGTTACCAATTCAATACTAACGAATTTTTACGAGGTAACCGTGACGTTAATTTTTCCTTTATTATTGTCATTAACCCTTTGCACTCCTATGTCGAGCGTGACTCGACATCACTTCTTATCTCAGGGGCTCCTTTGTCGAGCGCCATCTTTTTTTATGAAACATGCGATAGGAGAGCAGCATTGGATCCTGGAAATTGTTTCAAGATATGTCATACACTTAAAATGTGCAAAATACAACAATAGTGTGAATAAAATTGGTATTTAAGTGAATTTCTTTCTTCCTTTGTTTATTTCAACTGTCTTATTTTTTAGTTCAAGTAAACTTCAAATAAAACACCTAAAAGCGTTGGGAGCTTCTGGTATCGAAATTGAGGTAAAATTCCGAGTGCAAAGGGTTAACGATGCAATGTCCAGCGATATTTCTGCATATTACTTCTCGCATTTTGCACTCGCTGCATCTACAATAGCATAAACAAGGTTTTCGTAATATTCCTGAAAACGTGAAGACACCAAGGGGCGACAGAATTTATTACGCAAGCAAATAATAATTTACAGATGGAAAAATGCATAGGATCCATGCAACACGGTGAAATATTTACCCTGTTCACGATACTCGTAGAATACTCGTTGTAATATTCGTAGAGCGAAAAAATCCGTATTTTCGTTTCACCGTAAAATAATTTCGGTATTTCCGTAACCTATTGGCTTGGCAACTAAGTGATTGCGGATTCTGTCAATACCACCTAATGACAATCACTTAGTTATCAAAAATTCGCAATCACTTAGTTGCCAACCCAATAACGTAACGTAAATAAATGGGGCGGCTAGTTATCAACAGGTACGCGATCGGCAGAAATTCCGAGTATTCTCGTGGCGGCTGCACATGCTCCTGGAAATAATGAATTTTTCTAAACAAAGAAAAACCAATTGTTTTCGTTTAGTTCGTATTTAATCAAATTACCAACATTATTTTATTTGTTGTTACGAAATTAGGCTGTCGTATATCTGCAAAGTCGGTTGTGCCGACAGTGTGAAGCTGACACTCTCGAGACACGTCGACTACGAATTCCAATTAATTCTACGATGTATGTTGGTCCAAAGAACATAATACACGCGTAATTAGTTAGCGAACGGAGAGATCGAATTTGCCACGAGACGCAATGAAATTCTTTCGTGTCAGAGACGAAGCACGAGTCACGTAATATGGTAGTCGAGATAAATGTATGGCTGAGTTAGATCGGTTTCTCGTAATCAAGGTAACGCGATACCATGTGCCAACCGCGACCGATATTATCCTGGCGCCTGCATAGCGTCTCGCTAAACTCGCCACCAGCCTCTATCCTTTCGCTTCGGCCTCGAAACCGTTTGCTCTACGGTTCGTTAGCGCGAACGCGGAAACTCTGTACAGTACATACCGTTCCCGTTGCCAAAGAAACATTAACACGTTGACTGTCGCGTCATTCGGGTGACAGCAAAGTTTCTGATAGGGCCGTGTCATCCGTATTCGGGTGACGCTTATTTGACTACTTGAGAAGGATCGTAAGTGCAATACGATTGTCCACGATTTGTCCAATCGAAATCTTTTCGTCGGTCTTCCGGAAAGCGGACAAACGAAAATTATTCGTTGGACAAGTCGTGGTCAATCGTATTCCACTTGCGAGTCGATGAAAAATATTCGCGGCTATGTCGATGAAGAATTCTTTTGTTTGATCGTAATTTTATTTTAACACGTTCACCGTCGCGTCACCCATATTCGGGTGACAGCAAAGTTTCTGATAGGGTCGCGTCATCCGTATTCGGGTGACGCTTATTTGATTACTCGCGAAGGATCGTCGTAGGTATTTGAAAAGATATTCCACAGGAAGTAATAAAACTATTGAATTGTTATAGAAGTAATACGAAAGTGGTTTATTAAGAAAATTATTCAGAATGTAAAAATTCGAAGCATTCTATACAAAGCTGAGTTTGGTCGGACAATTTGGACAATAAGTTGTTGTTTTTTTTAAATTCTCCCGTGTCTTTGATCGGTCCGATCGACGTCTTTTATCCGCATAACATAGTTTGCACGCGCGACTAATGCTTCTTGCGAAATCATTTTTTCGAACGGCGATATTATGCTGATTCCGTCGAAGACAAGGATTTTTGTATTTTCAGACAACCCTAATAATTTTCCAGCTAATAATTCTCTAAATCTTCTAATATTTACATCCTTCCTTGTTGCAATTTTCTGATACAAGTAAATATATTATTTCGTCATCAACGAACAGCTCGAACACGTCATATAGATTAACATCGCCAGGTAATTGCCTAATGAGGCTGTCTGTCTCTGGAAAAAAATGATTTCTGCCAACCACTAAATTCATTTCATTCTTCAAATTGAATTGTACTTTTCTCGGTATCATCAGTTCTTCTTTCTTCCTCAATGACCAATTCTTGTAAAATCTCGTCGACGGTATCTTCGTTACATTCACTATCACTACGATTGTACTTGTCAATATCCGAATCAGAATCAGACGATGTAATTCTATTTCTATTTCTATTTCTAGGAAATCTGATTTCTTTCTCATCGCTGCTATCCGAATTTGCGTAAGCCTCGTAAAAGCTTTCTTTTTCACTGCTGTTTGACTCACTAAGAAATAAGTTTTCCATTTTTCTTTTCGGCATTGTAACGAATTAGGCCAGAGATTTTAAGTTATCTTAAATATCGGTGGCAGTCTAGCAGAGTACGCTTGGTACTGCAGCATTCGTGGCATGAAGGAGATTTCGTTGAAAACACGCGCGGCAGTCAACGTGTTAACGCGACGTCGCGTCGTGTCGATGTACGGTACTCTTTTCTTCTTGCGAAATTTTACAATTCGCTAATAAGTAGCATGCATCTGACAACAATTACCCTGTCTCGGATTTCAGCAATTCCACGCTTTTCAGTGTCTCTATCTGTTATAAACATAACGTTAGCTCTGCTTATTGTTGAGGTTGAGGTTGACTGATTGAACAACGAGTGGATGAATTTGTAATAGAAAAGTATATTGAAATAATTAAAGATATAAATATAATGTATAAGTTTATGCTGATTCACATGCTTACTCTCTTAGTGTTACTAGACAATGCAATGATAGGAAACACGTTCACATATTTGTCGGATTAAGGTTGGAATTTTGGGCGTTCGATAAACTTTCACTCAAATTTACCATCGCGGATATAGCTGATATTTATTGGTACAAATGTGGGCACTATAATTAATAGCGGCGATCGGATAGTCGAGATGTTGATGACGACGAATTCAGGTTCGATAACGAATCCACGGTCCACGGGATGACGAATGCGATGTAATACACGTACAACTCCACGTACAGGTAAAACTTATCTGCATGAACTCCAAAAAGATTAAGTGGAACTGCCCTTATATATTCCTCTCCCCACCTCTCGGGTCAATCTTTGTTTTTAAGGGGGGCTAAGGTTAATTCGTACAAAAATAAGGCATGTTTTGTGAATTACTTGTGACGACACAGTTAAAATCTCTTTATTAAAACCAATAGTACATTAAAGTATGACATTCGAAGAATATTGTATAAAATTTTCACGGAGAAATATTAAAAAATACGGCAATGGCAACAATTATTCGGACGTGTCTCGGAAAAAAGTAGAATTGCTCATAACTTGGTGCTGGATCATCCGAAATGAAAAAATCAAAGTTCATTCGTTAGGTAACAGTTTTTCCCAGGTAACTTTGGGAGGGTTTTTCGAAATTTCAATTTTTCACTTTTTTGGAACACTTTGAATGAAAAATTAGCCGCAAATTTTCGCAAAATCGGCTAATTTATCCCTTCAAAGCGCTCCAAAAAAGTAAAAAATTGAAATTTTGAGAAACCTTCCCAGCGTTACCTAGGGAAAACTGTTACCTAACGAATGAACTTTGATTTTTTGATTTCGGATGATCCTGCACCAAGTTATGAGGGGCACCGCAATTCTACTTTTTTCCGAGACACGTCCGAATAATTGCTGCCATTGCCGTATTTTTTAATATTTCTCCGTGAAAATTTTATACAATATTCTTCGAATGTCATATTTTAATGTACTATTGGTTTTAATAAAGAGATTTTAATTGTGTCGTCACAAATAATTCACAAAAACATGCCTTATTTTGTACGAATTAACCTTAGCCCCCCCCCCTCCCCAGGAAAGCCATATAATCATCCCATACCTCTGTCAGGTACACGTCCCTCCGTGACCGTGGCTACGTTCAGTGACCCACTATGTCACTTCGAGTCCAAGCCCATTGTCATAAAATCGGATTAGAACATTAAAAATATTTCTCATCTTTGTTACTTAAGTGAAGCTATAGTAAAAGTCTGGACTAGGGTATTGGAGTTTTTTCCAACATTCCAAAAGAGAAGTCCCGATGTCCTTTCATCTCCGACATATTTATAGCAACAGGACATTACCAAAAAAGTTACGCCTATAGCTTTGGCTAGAGGCTACAGGGAACATAAATAGAAATCTATTGAGATAAATAGAAGACATAATGTATACTCAAGGTTACAATAATATGCACCTTCCCCTATTTAGAATATTTCTGCGTGAATTCAGTCTCCGGATCACGGATATACATGAATAAAGATGTAGAGTTTTTCTTGAAGTAGTTACTTCGACACTTATGAAGTAGCAGGACTCGTTAAGCGCGTCGTTGCTCGTTTGTCAGACCGCTACGTTGTCGAAGTATGACGAACAACTTGGTCAGCAAATCAGGTCAAATGCGTACAGTATATAATATCTGCATATATTTTATAATAATATTAATTGTAATTATTATATTGGTAATTTCCATTAAAAAATACTATTAATTTTATTTACTCTATTATTAATTTATTAGTTTATAAATTTTATAAATAACTTTTTAATATAGTCTGAAATATTATATGGTGATGCTTGTGCGACTTATTCCTCTTTGTTCGATAAATATAAACAGCTAGTAAGAAACTATGGCGCATTATAACTATTCCTGTTGTAATCTGAACGTTTCAGCGAAATTTAGCTAATGCACAGAAAGATTCGACGAACGCTTGATTTCAATTCTAGGCGGTGGCAAGCTGCGCTTCCTGGGTACAGGAGGATGGAGGCGGCGGAGGAAATCGTCGATGAGAATCCCTGGAACACGAACGCGCGAACCGATCGCGATTCCACGCACCAAACTGCCAAGAGCGAAGATCAAGGGGAGCAAGAGAAAGTTCTGTCGATAGACAAAGTTACAGTAGAAAAGATCGTCTTAGAATCTGCTGGTTCTCGCGAGGTTCTTTTAACGAAGAATGAAACTTCGTTGAAAAGGAAACTTTCGATAAAATCCGAGCCTGGTAAGCCAGCGTTTTCGCGATCAAAAACCAACGAATCGGCGGATTCTAGAAAATTTCGTGTTTCTCTTCCCGAAGATATTCTTGCACCTAACAGTACCGATATCTGTAACGATGCTCCGTCAAAAGAAAACACGGAATCGACGACTACAGAAAAGAGAATTAAGCCTGTTAAATTAAGCAAGAGTCCGTCTATAGGCAGCATAGCGATTTCACTGAAAAATCTTACCCCGACGAAGATTTCGAGAAAAGATTGGCGGAAAGACGAACTTGTTGCCGACAGATCGGAAAATAAAAGGAAGAACGAGCCTAGCGGGAAAATCGAAGAGAAAGAAGAACGGGATAAAGATACGAAGGAAGATAAGGACAACGAGATAGAAGAGATCGACGCGAAAAATCGATTAGAGAAGAGCCAAACAAACATCGAAGTATTGCAACAGAACCTGAACACGAAAATCGACGCAAACACTGCTCAGAAATATAAAAAGAAACTACTAGAATCGCGAGAAAACCGGGCTCTCAAGTTATCCGACGCGGAGCCTGGCCAGGAGAAGTTGGCCAGTAGAATCACGTTCGACGAGGAATTTCTGCAGAAGCATAATCTCGACAAGAGGTTGAAGATCGAGGAGTACGGTTTGCTGGACGTGAATCGCGAATCTGTTTCCACTGTAGAAGAAGAGTCAGACTCGAGGAAGAGGCCTATCTACAGCGAGAAGGTGCTGGAAGTGGAGAAGAGGTGGTCCGGGGAGTTCCTGAAGAACCAATTGGATCGTCACTCCTCGGAATCGTCCAAGTCCTCTTACGTGGAGGAGTTGGGCAGTGTTTCCTCCAGGGAGAGCGAGGACTACGATCCTCAGACGCCGCTCTTCGACCAGAGAAAACGCAGGCCCGAGTTTGAACGATCGATCGATCTTCCTGGCAACAGAACTTGCGAGGAAATTCTCGCTGACAGCACGCTCAGTACGGTCGACTCGGATTCCTGTCTCGAGGACAGGATCAAGTCTTTGGACGAGGACATCAGAGAAAAGGAGAACGAGAGAATCGAGAATGACTCTGACAATGTGGAAGTTGATCGGCGAAAAGAGATAGAGTTGGGAGCTTCTAATCTGTGGAACGAGTCCGTGTATTTATTGTCGAAGGAATTCTGGAATCCTAGGAACGAGACAGCCAAGAGTTTCACAGAACAACCGAGGATCGAAAGCGAGAAAATTTCGAGTTCCACGAACACAGACAGCGTTGATTTTGCGTTAGTTAGAGAGAGTTGTAAAACAGACGGCTACGCGAATCTGATAAGAGAGTTCACCATGGAGGCGGGCACTTCCTCTCGGACGAAGAAAGAGGAGAAACAAAAGAAGAAACTGGGCCTTCGTCGTCTGCTGCCTGGTTTCTTCTCTCCGAAGGATTCTCGAAAAGACTACAAGAAGAAGGAGTCTAAAGAGAGAAAGAGGCCCGACGACAGACACTTTGCTCGTTACCAGCAAAACGGGAACTACACCAGGTCTCCTGACACGATGAATCTGAACGAAGATATAAAGAGGAACGTGAAGTTGGACAACAGCCTGAACGGGTCGATAATCGAAGAGAGGCTGGATGAAATTAAGCGCGAGCTCTTTCCGGATCAAGGACCCATAACGAGCACCCCGGATCACCTAGCCAGAGACGAGGATCACGAAGGTCTGTTACGCGATCGAAGCGGAGCTCCGAGATCTTATACGACTGATTCCAGTCTAAGCTCTATCGCTCCGGACGAAAGGTGGAACGAGCGGAACGCGCAGCTGGGAATCTCGCCCGACATCAGGAAATTCGAGCAGAGGCAGAAGCGCGAGGAATTTAGCCAGAGATGCGGCCAGCGATACGGCCAGTTGGAACGAAAACACAGTCTGCAGGAGCCGAATCACGCGAGTAGACCGCCTTACTTCTTTCAGAGGAATCACGCACCTTCTGGAAGGATCTCTGCTCCACCTAGCGAGAGGTACCTAGTTAGGCCCAGGGCCATTCATCCGATGGATCGACCGTTGCCCGCGATACCTCACTCAAGGACCGAATTGGCCAACTACGAGAACTATTTGGAGGAGCAAGAGGAAAGGCAAGAGCAAATTGCCAGATATGGAAAGAATGCGTACGATAAGCCGCCGGAATACCTGAACGAACCTGGATTGTACGAAAATGACAATCCTCCTGGCCTGATTTTGAAGTCTGTGTCTGCACAGGTGAAGATTACTAGGCAGCCGATAGTAAATCAGAATCACAGAGCCCCTTTGGTAGGTAGATCCCCCAAGTATCTTTCCTCGGGGTCCAGTCAGAAATCAGGAGATTACGGGGATTCCAGTTGCACACCCAATTCTAGCCAGAAAAGCGAATTCTCGCCATCCAGTTCGAAGAGCGGCGAATATTATTTACATTCGCCTCGAAATAGCGGGTCTCCCAATGGACGCGAGTTCGACGAGGAAGATTCTAGGCAAGAAGGGATCTACGAAAATGAGAAATCGCCCTCCAGATCGTCGACTAGATGCATGGATGAGAGGATTTATGACGAGACTCCTGCCTCGCCTTCTCCTTGCCAAGAGAATTCGGCCAATGCTAAGCAACTCGACCGTTCGATCGAAGACTCTTTGGACAAGAGAGTTTCCCCGTGTCAGAGAACTCGTTCGAGAGGAGAAAGACCTGTTTCGCCGAGAGAAAATCTGGCGAATGAAAAACGCGAGGATGAAAGGCAAGCTGGAGAAGCGAATAATCGCGAGGAATCGAATCGTGGTCCGACTTCCCCTAGCGGAAGCCAAGGCAAACCGATTTCTCCCTTTGGATCGCGACAACGTCTACCAGCTTCCAGGAGAGCTCAACCCAACGAGCAGATTCTGATAGCTTCTCCGAAAAGAGAAACCACCTGCGAGACGAGAATACCACGTCCTTCGAACGACTCCAGACGCTGCGCTATAGAATCACCTGTTCACATGACGAACACACCCCGTAAACTTGTTAACGTTAATTCCGTGGATCAACGTAACCAAGATTCCAGTCCAAATAAGGATGCTACTATGATTAAAGGCACTGCAGGGGCCAATGGAGACTTTAATACAGAAATACCGAGACCAGAGCCCATTTACGGATACAAAAGTCAAAGAAACGCGGTTGTTAGCTCTCCAAGAATTCATTCGCCGGAAAACATAAACCATAGATCGGATAATGTAAATAGGAACGACGGCGATGACAGAGTGGCTTGGGTTCAAGCACACACGTCTTCTCCACAAGCGAGTCCACAGCAGCCAAGCGAAGCTCGTACGAGTCCGCTGAAAGAAGTGCAACCAAACACGCAGAAGTCTGTCCATTTGACCGAGTCAGGGTCCAAAGAAAATCATCATCATCGAGAGCAAACTCATCATTCGCAAAATGCTGTTGCTTCTCGTCAGGTGGAAATTCAATTAGCACGAAACGCTAATAGGGTTGGCGTAGAAGAGCAAAGTGTTTCACAGCAGCAAGAGTCTCGGCCAGAAACGATGTACGTTCAGAAAATCTGCGAACCAATGTATGGACAACGGGGAACATCGAGCATTAATAGCGGACCTTTGTCACCTTCGAAACAAAAGACCAGACAGCATTTAGAAGCGTTCTACTGGCAGCAAAAGGCGTTGGAAGCACATAGGAAGTCACTGGCGTCTCCTGTGAGCGCCAGCTCCAGACAGATGGCTCGAAAAATTGATTTACCCGAGGTCAGGGAAGCGGTGTACTGGCAGCAGCTCAAGAAGCTGGACGAGGAACAACAACGACGTATTTACGAGCAGAATCTGATGGAGGAATCCTCCTATTGCAAGAAGAATCCTGTCAGAACGTCGACACCTAGACAAACTGCGATTCGAAGTCCCACGAGTGTTGCCGTGCCTGTTGCTCATGGTAATCCAGCTTCGTGGTCCGCTGGCAATCTTCGATGCTCTAAATCGAATCCTATAGGAAAACCGCCTCTAATGCAGAGTCAGAAGGGCCAGAATCAGCCTGTTTTGATCGTCAGACCTCAACAGGCTATTCGCGATCGTCGCGATTTGGTTCCATCGACACCTCTGGACCCCGTTAGACAAGAAGCTCAAAGAAGCAAAAGTGCCTCTCCACATTTTCACAGAGGAGAGGGGCAAGTGGTTCCGAGGAAACTCGAAGTTTCCTCGATCTACGAGCAGGAGGCGAATGACGCCGATGGAAAGACAGTCGCTCCTCCGCCGATTTTTAAGAGGGGAAGCTTGATCGGCGGAGAGTGTGTGGAATACGGAACCGC